GCTAACTAATTTGAATGGTTAACAAAATTACAGCTTCGATGTAATGCACGTCTGTCCACACCAAATGTTGCCTCATTGGATTGTAATGCTTCCAACGCCCGTCATCAGTATCATACACCACAAGTGTCCAGTGCGCGTCATGGCAGATCGGGAAATGGATATATCGGCACGCACTGCCCTTAGTTACATTCTTTCGCATGGGGTGTCCTTCTTTTTCACTATATCCTACAACACATTCAACAACTAAGTCACACAATTGTAAAAACTAACGCAAGCAATCCATGTTCCCACACACCCAGCCCTCACCAGGCAAATGCTACTGAAGAAGTACGACTTGTCTGCAGTATCATCATTTGCATACATTTTATCCTACTTAGTTTTCAATAACTCCGCATACGCGTTGATCACCTATTGTGCACCGAAACCAAGTTTTACATTTTTCAAACAAACACATTACGACAACCAACTGCCACCATAATGTAAATTGTAAAACAATAATAATCAAACCAATCAAAACGAATAAAATAAATAAAAAAAATTACAACAAAACACAAGAATGGTAGCTTACATTGGCACAGACACTAGTTTGCCTAACAAGATCCTTAACATCGGTGAAGTACACTACCACGGCATTTGTACTGTCAGCCCACATGATGGCCCTACGAACAATGCAGATCACATAAATCAGTTCGGCTCATGTTCGCATAAACAATTACTATAATGTATCAAATCTAGACCACTTTTTATCAGGCAACACAAATTTGTCGACATCAATTACAGCATCATCTACGACATATTTGTTCTTCCCTCCAACTTTACCCCCCATAGTGGCCGTTTTATTACAACGCTCACCCAATAACGAGTACTCAAACTTTGGTAATTTATGCTCTTTTCTAATCTTTTTTTTTAATGTTACGCACAAACGAATTCTGCACACCCGCACCAGGAATGTCCTCCTTCACGTACAGTACCATTTTTGTATCAGAGTCATACATGTTGTTATCGCCCGGTCTACGTGCCTGCAATAGGTTGAGATCAGCATACACGTTCCCATCACTTGCCACAGCACTACCTACAGGCCCTTCAACTGCACGTAATGGTGTCGCCCCCACAAATTTCTGCCCCACCAATTTCAAATCCATCTCTGCCAACACCATTACCATAACAACCACTGTCCATCATTCGGAACGTTTGGGTCATATTATGAACATCATTTTCTGCCAATTGGTCTTCGAGAACTGCTATTTTTTCCCGCAATTCCACGTTATCCTTTTTTAACTTCTCCACCTCTTCTTCTTTCATTTTTAGAACACAACCAAACCCACCAACTATATTAACGACTCTCATCTCATTTACAGTCCTTAACTTTGCTGTCTCTTCTTCAAGCATTGTAATTTTATTATCTTTGCTCTTGTTATCCATCTCTAGTGATGCTATAGCATTCAGTGCTTCTTCAAGTTTGGCAATATCCATCATGTCATGCATTCGCACACTTGTGGGTTCAGGCACCAATTTGTTCTTCGTGCTGCACTTATCCCCATCTTGCTGCTGCATATCTCCCCCATTGTGTGCCCTAGTTTGTTTGCTGTTATCCACCTCAATAGTACCCCCACGCATCCCACTATCACCTGTCGTAATTTGCTTTACCCCCATCTCAACAAAATGTTCATCAATACCTTCATCATTTTTACCCACGTCAACAACATCATCTACGACTCCTTCAATCACTTCAACGTCTGTGCCTATCAAATCTTGTTCATGCTCAAAGGATTTTAACCTGCCGGCTTTTACCTACGTGGATCACAAGCATACTCAAATGGTTACAGCCAAATAACGATTATATGTAAACAAATACTGTGTGGCGTACCACACGAACAAACACATGCACTATACCTGGAAACTGATGGGCCTAGAAAAATCCACCCATTGAGTTGTACTGAGTAATGTCCCAAGGTCCCACTTCAAGAACGTGGGAAACATGTTATCGGTTACCGGTTACACAACAGCAGAATGTTCGCAAAGCTAGTACTGCGTGACAAACGACAACCATTAGTTCATGTCTTACAAATATGAACAAAAAATTTACGCAACACCAACCAAAAAAATAAAATAGATAAAAATAAACCTAGTTGCAATATGAATCATACTAGTAATGTAACCACACAGCCAATCAGTTTGCCCATAGTGCGATGAAACTCCTTTATTGATCCTATCAATGTTGTAAGTATTGCACCAGTCCAGTCATACATCCTAACAGTATTAAGGTCATTCATGTAGTGAACAAATGCCCAACTTATTGTCTCCCCAGTGTTAGAGAAAAAAAGCTTCCCACAAACGTACAACGCTAACAATTTCGATACGTCTTCTTCATTTTGTCTTGTATTACCACTAACTGCGTCTGAGAATAATGTTTTCACAAGTTTAGACGTTACGTGAGAAACATCACGAGTCCTACGTTGTATGATGTCCGAAATTGGCTTCTAACCGGGTGACAGATCAATACACCTCTTCCCACATTGCAATCCGAATATTAACCTTATGTCACAGCTACCAACCTTCACATTAGTGCTGCCAATGTTAAAAGCATTCATCTAGGGATTGTACGACTTTATGATTTTGGATATCAGGTCGTCACACTTTCTGAAATCATTGTGGTTCATATTATTGATGTGTATTGCCTCTATTATGATCTAGAACGGTGTCCTTTTCAGCTGCCTCAGGTGTGCCTCCCTCAAGTTTGATGTGTTAACAAGCTTAACTATCCCAGCAATGTTTGACCAGAAGTTTAGCCTTGTATGTTGCTCACGCACCGGCCCAGTTGCCGGTTTACCCACATTTCGGCACACCCCATGGTTTACCACTTTAGTTTGCTTGAAAAGAATGTGCCCCTGCATTTTTACCCCTAGTTTGTCTGGCTTAGAACCCCCGCCCTCCTCAAGTCGTTTCTTTTCATATGAGCGTATCCACGGACTCGATACCTTACCATAACCTGTAACAACAACAGTACAATATTTTAGTACAAATGCAACCATGCCAAACAACAATTCACACGTAACACACGTAGTCTGCAACAACGTACACAACATTTTGCCACCCAACCTTAGCAAGCCATGCCACACACAGATAGAGGCATGGAAAGACTAAATAACAATGTTCATCACGCCACACATACAATCACAACACAATAATACAACCAACAACAAATTCAATACCACGCACCTACCTAAATAAGTAATTGACATGCAATATGCCACACACACATAAACAATTTCCAAAAAAAATCGTTGTCACACACATTGTGCTTGTCTTTGTAAGTATGTGGTTCGCGCGAGATCTGCACCACTACTCGGTAACACAACACGCTTATAACACTAACCAATAAAATGTTTACCCAAAAACCAACATATACCCTCACACACACAACACCTACACACTTTTTATTTTACACCACCCACACCCATCATCATTATGTCACAACACACACACATCAAAACCATGTACGTGTCAGCTATATCAATATTTGGGTTGAACGATGCACATTGGTAACTATTGGAAGTTTCTCGTGTTCCACAATAGTGTTACATACATCCCACGTACATGTCAGCCACATTGTGTTTGCCTATGAGCGTTCGTGATTTGAGTGACTTCTGCAACACAATTACTGCCACACGACACACTTCCATCACTAACAAACAAAATGCCTAACAAAAAAACACCATATACCCTAATAAACACAATCCTCACACCCTATTCTCATTTTCCCACCCACACCCATCAACATTTTCCTGCGATACACACAAATCAAAACCATGTATGTGTCAGCCACCACAAACACATCCATTCCAAATTAACAACTACAAACCCCAACCCAACCCCAAACCTACGCATGTCCAAAAAATTCAAACCTCAATAACCCTAAACATTCAACACATAATTGACTCAAATGACAAAGTAATCAAGCCCCAAAGGTCCAAACAGGGGTAAACATAATACCATGCACATCACTGTCACACATATGTCGTCTACATGAAACACAACAAAAGGTAATGCCACATACCTTCATCCGCCATCGCTGGAGCCCATGAACAGGAACAACCTACTATGAATAACTATGAATCACCGTCGTGTACGCCTTAATATTTCAGTGTCACACTACCCTTACCAAACTTTATCAACTTGATTCACTAAATCTCTCTCACCCTCCCAAACCACGACCAATATCCACTTTTCAAATTTTGAAAACCCACTAAAATTAGGGTTTCCCAAAACTTATTAAATCTCTCATTACAAAAAGGGGTCGGGTCGTGGATTACAAATAAAAGGGAACGGTCAAATTTACGTGACACGTGGGCCCATAGTACAAAAAGCCTTAGTGTGCTCTACTACTGCGTGTCACTCAAACTGTGTCATATGACAATCATCACATAAATATCTAATACGTGTTCATCACCCTTCTTAGTGGTCTCCGATGTGTGACACACTTGCAAACCACATTCCAAAACAAAATAGCCATAAACATTACACCAAACGTCCAAATAATGGCAACTACGTCTTTTCACAACCCGCGGGACCAAATGGGACATTAGAAAACAAATGGGACTGATTAGATAATAAATACAACATTTAGCATTTATTAGTAAATTTTTTTAATTATATATATATATATTGAGAACATAAAATCCTATATTATAAAAAGGTAAGGGAATGCCGGAGGAGTTAGTGCGGCAAAACTTTCGCAAAGTGCCGAGAAAGAAGTTAATTTTTTCGTAAAAGGTTAAATATTATATTAACCTTTTTTATTAACAAAAAAATAATTTTTTTTAATAAAATTTTAAATACATTAACTTTTTTACTTAGGAAAAAAAAAAGAAGCAAAAAAAAAAAAAAAGCAAAAACTTTGAAAATCAAAAAAAAAAAAAAAAAAAGGAATCTACCCAAAGGTAACCGACCCTTATAAATTGACAATTCTCCCACTTCCTCCTTAAGACTTGTGACCCCATTTGAGATCAGTGAGTTTAGTGGGCTTGCAAGTTTCAACATCTCTCTCTCTCTCTCTCTCTCTCTCTCTTGTTGGTTTGAGTCCCATAAACTTCATACGTTACATTTTTCACAGAGACCTCTGTTTTCTCCCCTCTTTTCTCTCCCAATTCCCATTTCCATCTCTCTCAACTTTCAAAAACCTTCAGGTACTTCACACACTAATTCCCGAATTCCTCTAATGGGTTTGCTGTAAATTCCAAGATTTGCTGACATTATTCTTTACGCCATGAATGAACAGGTAACAAGATCAGAAAAAAAAAAAATGACTAACCAGACTGTGGTGGGTTTCGATACCAAATCCACCATCGAAGTGGCCGTGTCGAACTTGTCGGTAGTGCCGCCTCTTCCACCGCCGCCTGGTGGGCGGCGCGTCACCATTCCAAGAAAGAATTTCTTTAGTAAGCTTGAAACTGGCGGCGGAGGAGCCAAGATCCATGCATGGGTCGATTCAATGAGAGCTTCTTCTCCAACTCGTAAATCCTCTGAAACTGAGGAAGATCATATCAAAAACTCTTGGATTGTACGTTTCAATTCTCACCCACAATTTTATCCCACATTCTTTTAAATGGGTTGTGTTTTGATAAGTAATATCTCTGACTCTTTCATTTTCTTTTCCTTCCAATTTTCTCGAGAAAAGCTTCAACACCCCTCCGCTTTGGACATGTTCGAGCAGATAGTAAATCTATCAAAGGGAAAACAAATAGTAATGTTTCTCGATTACGATGGCACTCTCTCGCCAATTGTCGAAGACCCTGATCGAGCTTTCATGACCAATGAGGTTAATTTTCTGTTTGGCTCAACTTTCTCTGTTATTTTCTCGATGGAAAATTCTTAGGAATTTTTTTGGTTTTGTGAATCAGATGAGACAAGCTGTAAGGGACGTTGCAAAGTACTTCCCTACAGCGATAATCAGTGGGAGGTGCAGAGCCAAGGTACATTTTATACAAAATCATGTATATATACATGTGTGTGTCTATATATGCAGAGAATTTTTTTTTTGGTTTTGAACTTTTAAAAGGCTTCATTATCTATGTATAAAACATTCACGTGTTTCTGATCATATGATTTTGATTTGTCAATGTTTCTCAGGTTTATAACTTTGTAAGATTATCACAGCTTTACTATGCTGGTAGTCATGGCATGGACATCAAGGGACCATCCAAAGGTTGCAAATGCAGAAATGTGAGTTCTAATATATTCTTACTCTAATTTGTTATATATATATATATATATACGCCAGCCTAATTATATGCAAATTACGAGTACTAAACCGATCACATAAATAACTTAATCTCGGTCATTAGACGGTGAAGCTCGTCATAAAAGTAGTTTGGAAAAAGGAGACAAACATGAGCCTCGCTTGTAATCTCACACATTTGTTTCACATCTGTGTATTTAAAAAAATAAAAAATTGTGTGTTCTTCTCATAACTAAAATAGTTTCCAACAATGATTCATCCCCCTTTTCTTCCCACCCCCTTTGACTCCCTCTCTCTCTCATTGGTTACATTTTCTTTTTCTTTTTCTTTTTTTTCCTGCTCCTCCAATCATCACCCGCCACGTGGCAAAGGGGGGTGAGGGGGTGATCCCCAAAAAGGAGTCCCAAGCATTATTCAATAGTTTCACCTAGTTTATTATAGTGAAATAATTGTGTCCATCGACTTTAGTGTTATAACTAATTATAATAATTTTACGGACACAATCAACCAAAGTAGAACAACATAAGTGGAGTGACCTTTTTCAATAGTGGATCTCACCATCTTATGACAGTTATTTTTTGTGATCCGGTTATGCGATTAGTTATGTGCCCATAGAATTATTTAACAAGCAAGTGAATTTTTAATTTAACTACCATCTCTACTTTTTAAGTTCTTACATGGTGTTTTTTTGTTAATTTTGGGTTTTATTCAGGACAATCAAGTGGTTCCATTTCAGCCTGCCAGAGAATTTTTACCCATGATTGATAAGGTTTGTTTTCTCTCATCTTAACATGTTGAACAATTATTTATTTTTTTGATGTTGATGTGTTAAGGATTTATTTATTTTTTCAGGTGTACAAAGCTTTATTAGAGAAAACCAAATCTACCCCAGGGGCTAAAGTGGAAAACAACAAGTTCTGTATATCTGTACACTATCGTTGTGTTGATGAAACGGTACAAATAAAAAAACTAAAAAACATGTATTTGACATATCTTTCTTATAATATTTAGTTCTAATTAATTTATATTTTTTAATTTATATTAGAGTTGGACAACGTTAGCAGAACAAGTTAAATCAGTGCTCAATGAGTACCCAAAACTCAAATTGAATCAAGGAAGAAAGGTACAATAATGGCATTCATTTCTTGATCATTTGATCCTCATAATTGTACAATAACTTTCTTCAATATTTGATCCTCATTGAGCTTATAAAACTTACAATTTATTGTTTAAGACAGGTTTTGGAGATTCGTCCAATCATCAAATGGGACAAAGGAAAAGCCCTCGAATACTTGTTAGAATCACTAGGTGAGTTTTCACTAGGTTACATTTCTATCTAATTGAATTGAACATCCAATTTGATTTCCAACAGAGGGTCAATGGACCCTATCTCACTATAAAATCTATTAACTCTTACACAGACAGTGAACAGGATGTCATATTTAATTAGAAAAAACAAGACTCTTTTCACTAACTATATGCATACAACAATGGTCTCCTTAGCATGATCTAACAATGTTCCTATGTTTTTGTATGTTACTAGGTTATGCGAATTCTGATAATGTTTTGCCGGTGTATATTGGAGATGATCGAACTGATGAGGATGCATTTAAGGTATATGTTGTTGTTATTTCTTTGTAAAAGGTTGGCATACAATAAGAATTTATTTTAATGTGTTAGATACCTACAATAATTATTAGGTGTTGCGCGATAGAGGACAAGGGTTTGGCATACTTGTGACCAAAGCACCAAAAGAAACTAATGCCTCTTATTCTTTGCAAGAACCTTCCGAGGCAAGTACATCATATAATTAATTAATTTTATTTTGGCTATTTTTTTATTTTGTCATTTATTTTTATTCAATTTGCCATGTTAACGATAAATTAATTCTTATTCTTATTTTTCTTTTTATCTTTATCCTTATAGGTTATGCATTTTTTGCGACGTTTGGTAGAGGGGAAACAATCTTTACTATGAGTTCATTAGAGGGTAAAAGACAGAAAAAAATAACCCTATTCCCAAAAATAAATTTCCTTCTTTTTGCTGTGATATCCCATCGTTGAAAATTTTGTTAGAGGTGGGTTTGATATTATGTAATTTTATTGTCCAGATCAAAGTAGAGAGGAAAAAAGAAAAAAAAAATGTAATTTAAAAAAACAAAAAAAAAGAGAAAAATAATCTTAAGAAGAATTTGAATACTCTCTCTATGTGTGCTTGCATGCGTGTAAGCTTATGTTAGCCTCCGTTTAGGAAGTGGGTTGACTTTTTAGTTTTTTTGACTATTTTAGCCTGGACTAAAAAGCTTGGTTTGGGAAAGATTTTTTGACTTTTTTGATTTTTTTGTGAGAGAAAAGTGTAATGATTATGGGTTGAATGTGATGTTTTGTTTTTTTGTGGCTAAAATAACATATTTTATCTTTTGTGACTAAAATAACCAAAAAAACCTGAAAAAGTTGTTCCTAAACGGACCCTTAGTAAGGAATGTTAATGGTTATGCAAGTGTTTGTATGCCCAAACCAATTTTAAAGTCCAACTAGTATTATAAATAAAAATAATAATTCAATGCATAAATCCCTTGTTAAAAAGGTGGCTCAATACACAATTGAACTTTAGGATAAAAGAAATTGAATGGTTCAATGTGCTTGGAAGCAATTTTTTAACTTGGGAAAGAGATCAAGAATCAAAGCATTTTCTCAGTCTAAAAGTAACAAAATCTTTTAGATACGAACCAAACGATGCCTCAACAAAAAAGAGAATAAAAAAATAAATCAAGAAACCAACCACAATTGAAATCATGTTTTTATAGACAGATCCAATTAGCACCAAATTATCTTTGACCCAAACAATTTGATTTTATTGTAAGCTAGTATAACCACCACCTTTTTTTTATATATTTTTTTTGGGGTACTTACGTGTAGGTCCTAATAAGTAGACTTATTGTCTAATAAGTCCCATAAGAAAAATTTATCATAAAAAAAATCACTAATTGTAAGTTTTAGCGACAATTTATAAAAATCATGACAAAAAAAGTCACTAATTGTCAATTTTTAACGACATATGTAAAAAATTGTCACAAAAAAATTATTTTTGGCGACAAGTTTATCAAGATTTATTTTCAATAGAATTTGATGGGAATTAAGTCCGATTATTAGGACCTATTGATAGTTTACCCTGTTTTTTTTTATCAGCATGTAAGCAAGTGTAACCTAGCATCAAATTATTCTTCACTTCATTTCTCACCCATTCAATTCCCAAAAAGTATTGTCATACAAACAAATAAAATGGACAAAATATTTACAGAATGATGTGATTGAATATGTTTTTTTAATTATAAAGGTACTTCTACCACATCATTTTTCAAAAGATTCTGTATAAATTTGATTTTAGAAAAATAACATTTTCTTGCCTAAAAACAGGACATAACTATAATTTAAGTAGTGCTTTATAGCAAAGACTGTCCTCAATCTTTCTAGGAGACAATAGAAGGGCAAGAGAAAAAGTCACTAATCTTTAGATTGTGTATATATATTTGATTTGAGTGTGGGCTTTCATTGTGACTTAAGTGTTACCGTCCTCAATCTTTTTAGGAGGCTATAGGTGTCACGATCTAAACCCGCCCTGATAGATTTAATATTGTAACCAGTCAGTAATCCTAAGATTACTGAAGGCCTCTGAATCAGATTAACAAATAAGGGGCTGGTGGAAGCTAATTTCAAAATATACAATTTTCATAGAGGTGTACGGACTTCAATCCCCCTACAAAATTGTTGCTCTCTCTCTCTCTCTCACGTTTTTGATGGTCACGAATAATGAAGGAGTGACTTCTAGAAAGTATAAGAGCCTTATATAGGTTCATTTAGCTTAGGCTAATTATGTGTGATTAGCTATAATCAATCTTGTTTGGTTTAATTTAGTTTATTCCAATTATTTGAATCTGAATCAAAATTTAATTAAACTTGCTAGACATTTCCAAAAATCCCAAATAACACATTGACCTAGTCAATTTTATGGTCAGATACCAATAAAACCCTCAATTTCCATATTAAAACAGAATTCTAAATAGATAATTCTACGATTGACAGATATAAATTCAAATAGCATGCAAAACATACAATTAACACATAATTTCACTTAATTCCTTAATTAATAATCTTAATTACGGTTTAACGGCTAATTACGGATCGGGATTGTTATAGCCTTCTCCTTTTAAAAAGTTTGGTCCTCCAACACCAACCTTTATTGTGTGTGTATATATATTTGATTTGATCGTGAGCTTTAATGCAGACAGTAGTAAATTTATTTTATTGCGACCTATTCGTCACCAATTCAAATCAAAATTTACTAACCGAAAGGTAAGGTTGTATTATCTAACCCTTTTGGATCTTGTAATGACAGGAGTCTCGTGCATTACAACCGTCCTTCTAAACATCATTTTCTTTCAATTTTATTGTAGATAGTGCAACACAATGTAAATTCGTGAACTTAGATTGTATTTAGATTTTGAATTTATGGAATAAAAAAAAAATAATAAAAAAACTATGTTTGGTTATCCAGTTTTCAAAATCACATTTTAAGTTTTCAATTCATACTTTTTTACTTTTAGTGATTTTTTAAAAATATTTTGGTTAATTTTTTATTTTATTTTTTAGATACATCTAATCTATATGTACTCAAAACGTAAAATGTTAGTAAGGAAATCTTTAAAAAGTTCAATAAATACAACCAAAAAAAAAAATGAAAAAGTACCCAATTTTTGTATTTTTATTTTTTTTTTTTTTTGTATTTTTTTGTATTTATTGAATTTTTTTAAGATTTCTTCATAAATATTCTATTTTTTAAGTGCATCTAAAAAAAGATACTAAAATATTAAAAAAATTTACTAAAAAAAATTTAAAACTCAAAATTTAATTTTAAAAACTGAAAAACCAAATCTGCAATTGCCACTTCCATCCTGCTGGAAACTCAACAACGGGAGGCATAATAGTGGTTCTAAAGACACGTGGATGAGTCAGAGACAGCAAGACTCATGGGATAATCAAATATATTGTCTTGTTTTAAGGTTTAAGGTTTGTTGTCTGTTCCCATGCTTTTAGTGGTTTAGGGTTTGTTTTTTTCTTAATTTTTTGATTTTTTTTATTTTTTAACTTTTTTGGATAGCAAACATAGCAAGATAACATTGAAAATTCAAACTCATTGCTCCTAAAATAGGACCAAATATGCAAAGTTGATGCCACCCTTCACTTACATTTTTGCAATGTAACACTTAAAAATTAATTACAAAATTAATCATGAACATGTATGTTGAAAGGTTACACATTTTTATATTTATTTAAGCCGATAATTAATTCTGTATCATAGTGTTGTTGCCAAATGTATACAAAATTCTCCATCTATTTTATATTTTGCATTTGTTGTGTAATTGAAATCATTTACCATCATAAACTAAAAAATTATAGGGCATATAGCCTTCATTGTTGCCTACCAAAGACCGATAATTATGAGAATAAAGTAATATGTAACTGAGTGTTATAAACTTTTTTATCTTCTTTGAATGATTATAGCCAATTATGCCCAAATCACCAACAAAAAAATAAAAATAGAAAGTACTTATTAACAAAAAGCTTATGGAATTTGATATTTATGATTTTAAGTCAGTGTTCACATTATGAATTATTGAGATTCTTATGTCTGATTAAAGGAGGCCATACATTAGAATCTTGTCAGAGACGGAGAGTACTAATGAGGTACATGAACATGGAAAAATTAGGACGTGGATCGGCCTTAGTTGGACTAGTCAATTGAACATTTTAATTCGAATAATGTTAGGCATTACAAAAAAAAATATTATAAAAATAATTATGAAAGATTCTCTACCTTTGTATTATACATATAATAAAATATCACACACTAATTAAAAGATAAAAAATCTTCATGATATATTTTATGATATTTTTTTTGTAATCTCTAATATTATTCTTTTAATCCAGCCCATTGTGAGCTTATTTTGGATTTGTAACTTTTTCAACATTTCAAATCGTTTAATGTATAGGGTTTGTCGAGTATTTTATTACTGTAAAAAATTACATTGATTGAATATCAATAACTACTTAATCATATTTCATTTGTGTGAACAATTTATTTTTAAAATCATAATTATTGTTGACATAAATTTGATCTGATCAAGTGATTATCGATATCCGATTAACGTGATATTTTACAGAGATGAAGTATTCAACTAGTTTTACAAATTCAACGATTCGGATTATCAATGTAAACTCTGGTAAGTCCATGAAGGCTCAACAGTATACTCTAGTCAGATTTTGAACTGGAGAAAAGTCACTGTCAAAGATTAGATGTCCTAGCAAGATAATTAAGACAGGCAAAATCATTAATGTTTTGAATAAAAAAACACTCAACTGGTACAATGAGATAATTGTAAATCACAAGTACAAAAACATAAGATCCAAGTTGTTTATTCTAATATTAGGGTTACATTCACGATATTTGGGTTTCATTAGTCAATTCCCAACTACATATGCACAATATTACAAAATCTGAATGATTAAGGTTCAGTATTTATCAAAATCCAGACTACCTGTTGATGGATAATCCTAACAATCCTAACGAGAACCTTAAGATCTCACAAATAAATAGGTGGAAACAATGCCATTGATCAAGAACAGAAGAGAAGACCTACACCATTGAGCACTGAGATCTCAAAGTTGCTTTTAAATGGATTTGGTTTTCTAGTTTAATGTTTGCTTTCATAGGGTTAGGTGGTGAAAATGAAACCCACTTGTAGGTAGAGGAAATCCATGAATTGTTGAAGAAGAGTTGGACTCCACTTAAAAGTGATTGATGTAAAGAAAGACATTGGTATTAGATGGGGACACCAATATGCTTTCTGTACATGAAGAAAACTACTTCTCTTTTAGATGTGAAAGACAGGTTTCCACTAGATTTATCCCATCATTGGTGTCTTAAATATACTAAGTCATTTAAGCTCCAATTATTAGTTAGAGTTGGATTTTGTTCACCCAAGGACCTTTAGGAGAACAACCAACTGAATTAACCTCACTAAATTAAACTAATAAAATTTAACCAAATCAGAAGTACGCTCAATTTAGTTCTTGTTTTATGGGTTTTGGGAGTGGTAACAAAGTGATT